GGAACAGCTCTAGACAAAACACATAATTTAACATCGAGACATCCAGGGTTATGCAGACAAGGGGGGACATGCTGTGCACAATGAGAAGACCCAGCTTCCATGTACTGCCTCCCAGCTTTTCACTGACACTTGTGCACGGTTTTAACAAACTCTCGTATTCAGCATTTATTTATATCTATGAGGGGGGTGAGGAGGATAAAGACATTACATAATTCTTGAATTGAAATTGAATCTGTGTCCCAGCAGCAGAGGGAAGTGCCGGCTCGCTGTGTGAAACACCAATCAAAGAAAAATACTTTATTTATGTGTGACAGCAAGGAGGCTGTGTGCAAAGACAGACATGTCCCACCCGGTGCTCCTGTCCTTAATAACCAGTCTTTTTCAAACCGGCCCTTGTCGCATTATTCTATTGATTGCTAATCTCACCCCCTCCCATCTCTCTCTGTCTCCTTCTCACTCCCCCCCCTTCCCTCGCTCCTCGTCTGTTGAATGGCTGTACAGGTGGAGTATTTTGAAGACAACCAACGAGGCAGCTTGGGAAACCCTGAACCTGCAGCAGAGGTAAGACGAGTGCCATCTCTGTACATCTTGCTTTGATTCCCGCTTGTTTATGAGGTGTAAGCATTAGTCAAGGCAGCGACCAACCCCTCTACTCTTTCTTTGTGTGTATTTGCATTCCTTTAAATGTGACTACGTTAGTTTTCCATGTATGTCTATGTTTTCAATACCTGTTACGCAGAAACCGCTGTGGTTCAGTCGCTAGTTTGTCATTCGACTGTTTGCTCCTCTCTCCGGCGAGCTCATTATTTCTCCCTGAGTTGGTCTCCGGTTGGAATCGAGGTGCATTATTAGACGTCTCAGGATCTACTTTGCCAATCTCAATTTCCCCGCTCGGAAGCTGACTGTGTTAAAGTTTATCTCCAAGCCGCGGTGAGCTGAGCGCCTCATGATGAAGTGGCGGCGTCCTCAGTTTAAAGCGTCCCACGCTGCCTTCTGATTGGTGCCAGAGAAAAGCATGTGTAGATACAACAAGCCAGGGAGAGGAGGGGGGAGGAGGAAGAAGCCGACTCGCCGGCTCAGGAGCCAGGAGGGCCGTCCTTCTTCTTCTTCTCCTCCTAGGTTCTGGAGTCAAATGAGGTAAGGGGAGTAAAAGTGAGTGGGTCACGCATGCGTACGTGTGATAGCCGGCGTAGTAACCTGTGGCGTGAGGCGGCCGCTGAGCGCTGCTGTTCTTCTGTCTGTCGAGTCGAGGCACGCTCCTGTGTTTCTGTGCAGAGGAAGTTTGAGCGGCGAGGCTTCATGAGGAAAGGATTTGTCGAGTTATAAGATTATTAGGATGTCATCTCTGCGGGAGAAAGAGAGCTTTAGTTTGACTTCACATGCACAGGGGACGCTGTCCGTGTTGTAGAACTAGACAATGTGGAAAAGACGAGATACCAGAGGTGGAAGAAGATCATTTGGTCAAAGTAGTAAAACCACTATTTAGAAATACTCAGTTCATTTTTGTTACTAAAGTACAGAAGTATTGGTATTCAAATAGTTAACATTTCTTTTTTGATATTGATAAAGTACTCATTATGCAGAATGTCCATCTTTCAAATAATATATATTGTACTTCTGGATTATAATCAGGGATCCATGAAGGTGGAGCTAACTTTGTTGATTTATTAAACTGCTAGGTATCTTAATCCATAACGGTTCATCATAATAAACAATTGTATTGGATTTTGTGTTAATAATATAAAGGTACTTGTAACTAGCGTTGTCAAATAAATTTAGAGGAGTAAAAAGTAGAATATTTGCTTCCAAATTGTAGAGTATATAGTAGGCTTAAATTGGACTCGATACTTAATACCTGTCAAGTATTTCAAAGTTGTACTTAATTACTGTTAAATATACTTAGTTACTTTCCCACGCTGCAGGTTACGACTGGAGGACATTCAAGCCTATGAGATGTGAGTTAATCAGTTTCAAATGTGATGAACAGGTTTTCTTTAAGCCTGCTCTAATCCCCATGCCTCTTATCTTTACTGTACATATACGACCATCTGTAGGGGGGTAAGAAAGAAATCAGTGCAGACTGTGTTTAACAAGTTTCTATTCTCTGCATTCCTGAGATCCTGTTTGTCCGAGGTCAGGGTCCTCGCCGCGGTGTTTATCTCGTCGGGATCTGTTTCCTTGTCAAACACTTCCCCGGTCACACAAAGAATAACCCGGGCAACCGCCAGCAGCAACATGTTTTCACTAAAACAAAAACAGACAGAGAATATCAGCCATGCTGTAGCTAACCTGCACTGTCTCCAAGTGTCTTTAAGCGTTGATTTTAAGGTTTGGGGCCAGCCTAGAGTACCAATTATTTGTCATTTTATAATCCTGAAATGACTGTTAGATCCTAATGTCCCTTTATTATCAAAAATGTAACACTAGTGCATTCCATTCAGTGTGTGACAGCAGAATACAGAAGTTTGCATGTTGTCCATTTTCACACCTTTCCCCAGAAAACACTGAGGTGACAAGTTGTAAGAACTAAAAAGAAATGTATACATAAATAAATGTACATCGTCATATGCACATATAATAGGAAAAACCTACGTAAACAAATAACATAACTGATCAAAATGCAGACATAAACACACAAACATTCATTCAGTCATTGGAAGTGTTTTTTTTAACATTTGCATTAATACTATTGAATCCCATATCCAAGGCCATACAAGAAGCAAGCTCTGTAAACATATTAAAAACATATATATTGAGCATTGTGTTTAATTAGCTAACCCTATTTTTGGTTTTATACTTTTTTATATGTATTTATTGCTTCGTTTTAATCAGTTTTATCAATGTTTGGTTGCAATTTCCCCCTCGCACGGAAGGTTCTGTATCGGTAAAGTTTATCATCAGTACTATTATGATTAGGATATTTCCAGGACACACACACATCAGATCAAAGACATGAAAAGCATGTCAGTCTGCTCTCTCTAAGTTTTGCTGTTCAGGAAGCAAGTTAAGAGTTTGTACCACAACAGGTTATAAGACATACAGTGCACTCGCGTGATTCTTCTTTCCACGCACAAACACAGGATTTCCTCTCTCTACTTGTGATTAACTTCAAACGGCACGCTGGTAGGAAACAGTCGGAGTAGAGACTGAATTTGCGTGACAACAGATGGAAGGTTTTTTTAAAATCATAACGCTGGAATCCCCGGCTTCGATCGCAAAGGGTTAACGCTGACCCAGTTTCCGTGGCAACACTGAATGTCTGATGACATCATTGCTTTAATTTTAGCTCAAGTCCGGCATCCAAAGTTTGGTCACGTGACAAACTCGCCGGCACCGCACACGTGTGTTTGTGTGTGTGTGTTTATAGTGTGTAGTGTAGTAGAGACTGAGGAAGTGGAGGGTTTGACATCACCTCTTCCATTCAGCGCTGGCTCACGATGCGTTCACTGCTCTGTGTGAAGTTTCCGTCTGTGAAGAAATGCAGCTATGTTTCCTGTGTGCTCTGAAATGCAACTAGTGATCTAATAGCTGTGGGGAAACGTGGCTTATAGGCGAAAGTTATATCTGCTTTTTGGTTCTCAGGATGAACAGATTGTGCTGTCATGGTCTTTATTCCACTCAAAAAGTCATACATAATGATTGAAGACGTATTATTTTCCTTTAATATTCATTAATGAAAAATGCATTTTGTATTAATTACTAGCCTTGTGTTTCCTTGAAATCTTGATACAAATGTTGAATGCCTCCACGGAGAACATAACAATACAAAGGTGGACTTTTGATGTCTGCAAAAATGGGGCTGTGTTTAAAAACAGCAAAACATTATCAAAAAACATTCTTGGTTTGAAGGAATAGTTCACACGCAAAATGGACATTTATTAGTCAGTTGCTCATTGTTACTTTGAATTCCCAAATCAAACCTTTGCATGCCTCTACGGTGAAGAAAGAATCCAAAAATAGAGAAAAGTCTTAATAATGTGAAGTAAGATCCATTTACAAACTCACACACAACTTTACTCAGGGTGTCCGCGGGGTCTTAAAAAGTATTACATTTGACTTCAGGATTCCTGCATATACCCTGTCACTACACAAACACGACTTTTCAATAAAACACTGCTATATAAAACACTTGAACGAGTAGTGTGCACAAGTTTGAGACATGCAGAAGTTATTTCAGTCTTGCTTTTAAACACGACCTACTTTTAGTTAAATTCATCAAGACTTTTCTCCGTTTCTCATTCTTCGTTCCCCTGAGATCAAATCTGTTTTCTTTAGAGATAACACAAAGTACATCATTGATAAATAAATGGTATTTTTTACATACAAAGCGTATACATGTCCTGAAAAGCATAAATGTATTCTGCGTCCTTGAGTTGGTGACAGATCTTATAAGTTGAGGCATTGTCTGCAGTTCAGAAGTGACTACAAATAAACCCATTTCACCTTGACTACAACCCTGCAAGCGAACTCAGAAATAGTCAGCTGCTTCCTGGCATTTCACAAATATCTACAGTACAATGTGCAGAAGTCATTTCCTTTAACGGTTACAAAGAAGTATTGTATCAAAGGCGCCTGAAGGACTGGAAAACATCACATCAAGTAAATCCTCATGAGAGTTCATGAGAGTTCATCTCAGATATATACAGAACATGTCTCTGATTGGCTGAAACACCAAACCGATCATTGCAGCATCCCATAATCCCCTCTGTTTCAGCCCTGTTTCAAAAGTGCTGATTCTCTGTCTGTTACTTCAGATGAAAATAAGGAGCCCCTCCCCACGCCCCTCTGATACCTCATTCACACCCACGCAACTCCGGTTCAAGCTCCGTGCTAGAGCTTTTCAGGTTCAGAACCGGTTCTTCGGTTTAGCTCCGGCTCTTTTCACACCGCCCAGAGTCCGACTGGTGCTGCGTCATTGCGTCATCGTTTGCGTCATGACGTAACCGTTGGCGTGCCTGCTTCATAAAGCCAAAGCGCGCGGAAACCCCTCACAGCTGACACCGACAACAACAACAATGGCCGATTGTGCTCCAGCTTCCTCTGTACCTCTTCAGAAGACCAGATTCCCAGTAGGTAGCTGGTCTCTTCAGTGGACCACTGCTGCTTGTTAAGTTTATCCATCGTTGTGTACAAACTGGATAAAACTCCGGCTTTTTGTTGTTGTTCAGGAGTTGAAGCCCCTGCCCCCGCCTCGACGTAAGCGTGACGAATGTGGTGCTTTTGCTCTAGCCGGACAATATGATGGTGCTTGAAATGAACCGGATTCTGGAGCTAAGAGGCTGCTCCGCTGCGGTGTGAACAGGAAAACCCGGTGCTTTTCAAGCTCCAGCTCCGAACCGGCCCTGAAACACCGTTGGTGTGAATGAGGTATGAGAGAGATTTGGTTAAAAAGAACACAACGGTGCTTTAGGAGGAGAGTCAGGTGATAAGGCGGGGGGGTGGGGGGTTACCTTGGTTACACAAGCCAAACAATCGTTATGACATCATAAAGTGGCCAAAATCTGATCAGCTCATTTTCAGACAGGTTTTTGTATAAATGGATCAGGACAAAAAGAGAGAGA